CGGTCCCTGCGAACCGCCCCGGTCGCAACGGCCCGGCCGTGGCTCCTTGGAGCCTGGACAAAGGTGTTCAGCGCAGCCCTCCCCGCCGAGGCGAGCCCGACAGTCCGGACCGCTGTCCCCATTCCTTCCCATTCTTCGTGGCTACTGCAGTACAGTATCACAGAATCATTCGGGTTGAAAAAGACCTCTGACATCATCGAGTCCAACCTATAACCGAACACCACCTTGTCAATCAGACCAGAGCACTGAGTGCCACGTCCCGTCGTTCCTTGAACACCTCCACGGACGAGTACTCCACCACCTCCCGGGATCAGCCCCTCCCAAAGCTCTCCCCGTGTTCCCAGGATTTATCGAAATGCTGAGGGTACACCCTGCCGCCCAGGCTCCACCTGCCGCGCAGCCCCCGCCCCGAAGGGCGCCTCAGGGGCGCTGAGGCCGAGGGCCGGGCCGCTCCCAGTGCCGAGCCCGCAGCACCCCCGGCCCGGCCCCACTCCGTTCGCAGTGGCCAGGTAGCTCCCCCCCGCCTCTCCAACACCCATCAGCTACGGGCAGTGTAGTGTTCCCGCTGGGATCTCACGGAGATGTATGAGGGAAAAGAGGCTGTCACGAAACCCGTCCTGTCACGTATTTGTTCCAAGCTGTCTTCAAACACAGCAGGTCCAGAGATGCCATCGCTCCTAGAGCGCATCCCTCTCCGCGAGCTGGCGAGCTCTCTACAAACAGAGTCCCACCACATCAAAGCCACGGAGTCAGGAAATCGGATCTGCTCTTCCCGAGCGGTAAACAGGAGGAGCAGACCACAGGTCTGACTCGGTAGATCAACGTAACACCAGAACCAGAAGAAAGGGAAGATAAAAGGCAAACAGTTCTAGCTACAGACCTATTTTCTGCTGACAAAAGTCAGCATCTGCTGGCTGAAGCGCCAGAGAAAAATCCAGCTAGTCCTGCAGGACAGAGCAAATGACTGGCATAAGCTGAACAAGTAGTGTCTCAAAGTGCTTTCCCAAAACCAGAAAAAAGAATAGATTTAATAACCATTTAACAACCAATTTCCTCCCCACTGCACAACAGAGTGCACTGTGATTTTTTCACACTTAGCTTACAGAAGTCATCACTACAGCTGAATTTGAGAGGAAAGTCAGGCAGTGACAGAGGCCCCTCAAAAAATTGACTTATAAGAAACTTTTAAAAAAGGAAAAAAAAAAAAATTAATCAGATCTCTGAGTTTAGTGGTCCCATACTTACAGGTGTAGTAGCCGGAAACACTGAAGGAAACACCTTTGTCGAGAAAGATGCACTTTGAATTAAGACAGGGCAACCCTGTTTCCCCTCCTCTTAGATCTTTAAAGGATATTCTAAACTCCTGCTCTCCAAGACCAGCATATTCACAACAGCAATTTGTTCAGCCTTACTGTATGTTCTGTGTGTTCTGGAGCCACCAACAGATTAGTAATAGAAATACCAGGGAAAAGCCTTCCCAGACATCCAGGTGCAAATGCCTGACCCTCCCCCAAAGCTGAAATCACACAGAAATTATCCTGATCACAAACACTTGGAACTGGCCGGGTTCCTTTAGCAGCAGAGCACCCAGTGCAGAGCAAACATTGTGCTTCTTGCAATTCCAAGCTAAAGTGAGACACCTGTGACTAACAGACAACACTGAGGAACAGGTGTATTAGGGGAGAGCACTGATGGAACCCCGAAGTTAGCTGTGGTCTTAATTAACTGCTTCCAGCATCTTAATCGAGACCAGTTTAAAGAAGCAAACAGATATAAGTGTGAAGTTCTTAATTCTATTTTCCAGAGTGTAGGGTGGCAAACTTAAGTCTATATTAATAAATGTGGACCCTGTATTCAGACTTTCCAGGAGAATTTAAACCAGGGACACTGAAAAGCAGATTTAAAGAAAAAATGAGAAAAATAAAACACCAGTTGTTTTACATGCAAAACGTAATTAGCTGATGCAAGTCACTTCAGCAAAAACAGTGAGATTCAGGAAAATATCCAGCATTTACATGTATAATGAGAATATCCAGATCAACAAGATGAAAAGTTTGCAGAATGCAATCTCATTTCTTAGAGCATAAACCAACTGCTGGCAGATAGATATTGGGAAAGGCTCCTCAGGGAAGGCTGTGCCATAATTTCCTCCTTAATTTTCCAGTACCTTCTTTTGAAGCAGTTGCCTGCAGGAAACTAGATTAAATACAGGCTCTGTCTGGACTTGTATTTCTGTTTGGCATTGTATATAGGGAGCTTTAAGCAATTCATGGACAGTGCACATTTATCTCATCTTTAATAACATGGTTATTAAGCACATTGCTAGAAAGCTAACACTGTATCAGCATTGTCTATGTTGTAGGAGACGACCTGCAAGATATTTACTGGTACAGAAAATGAATGTAAAAGCCACATGGGGACAGTGCAAGCACTGAAAAAATTCACTGCCTGAATTTGGTAAAGCATCAATGCAAAAGCAACCAAAAGGAAATAAAATCAGTTTTGTACAGTCTGCTGAGAAATTTTGATGAATCACCTACGGCTGCAAGCCAGCCTTCCAGGGTAGGATTTGGTTCACTGGCACTTCAAAGTCACAGACTCTGACACTGAGTAAGTTCAGGCAGGCTGCATAAACTCTCTTAAAACTCTCACCAGTGCTGAAAGCAACCAACCTTTTTATTAGGCAGCCCTGAAAGCAGAAGTCATGACATGGCAGAAGTTCTGTCCTCCTCTGGTAGCTGTGGTACCAAGTACCAGGTGTTGTGTTTGCCACATTCCTCCAGAGATGAATCTTGTAATAAGCAATAGAGATTCATGTTGTCATGTCCACTGACCTCAGGGCTGATCCCTGGAAGACCATGCATGAACTGAGAACATGCAGACTACTAGAAAATTAGGTCCTACATTTGTAATTGAAGCCAGACAACACAGCTCCTGTCAGTCTGTTCTTTTAATCACTCATCAGTTGAGGGTGAATTCTTGTCCTCTTCATCAGGTGTATTTTTTAGCTGCTGACGACCAAACTCCTCAAATACCAGCTCTGCTTCACTGCAATGGAAGAAATGCAGGTCTTTCAAAATGATGTTACTCTATTTTTATACCAGTAGACTAGAGACAACACATAGGAAGAAGAAGGGAAGCCCACAGACTGGTAGTGCTTCCTTTGTCTCCAAAGAGATTTGGATCACATTCCCACAGGCACCATCTTCACTGATGCTATTCTAGCTAAAATGAAAAGCAATTGATTGAGCAAGTCGAGGCACAAACTGAGGATGTTTTCATCTGTACTGAATCATGTCCATTCCAGATACATATTTATCAGCTAGCTGAACAGCCTAGAGCGTGCAAGGGGCTTTGTCCAGAAACAAAATGTGGAACATTTCACCCTTATTCCTTCTATACTAAAATAGAGGTGCATGGTCAAACCTATTAAGTTCCTTACACTTCCAGCTATAGGGCACAAACACACCCCTCCCTGGGTGTGTTTGTGCTATTAGGCAAAACATGATCTCTTAATCTATCTTCACATGGTCAGTCACTGCTGTTTAATCCAGAGCAGTCATTTGTTAGGCCACCATAATTTGCTCACTTTGGATTTTAAGCTGAGGATTTTTGGACAGTTTTGAGGAGTTTTTAAGAGTCAATGCACAAGTGTAGCTAGAAAGTGAAATACTAAAAGAAACTTACCCATCCTTCCCTGCAGTCATGAGCATGCAGCAAAGGAGGAAAAAAGACACACCAGGTAGTCAGAACAGCATATGCAAAAACATTTTCAAAATGTTCAATGCAAAAATATATAGACTGACAAGTCGGAGCAGTGACAAGAAGCAGGATTTGCAGCAGTACAAGTAGAATTTCAGAAAGTCTCAAAATGTGCATACATACACCTGATGAGGCAAAACTTGATCTTCCAAATGGAAAAGCATTCCAGCAATGCTGCCCAAGCTATCTGAAGGGCTGGGGAACAAAGACAGATTTTCCCATCTACACATGCTCATGGTCACAGCTGTAGGAGACATCTATGCACACACTTGGACTCCAAGCTGACAGTGCTTGCATGACATATCAGCTTTAACTGCTCTGTCACTGTGACTGAAGAAGTCAGCTAATGAAAAGACGATGCTCTTATTCAATAAACATGAAGGTATTAAAATTAGAGGTCAAAGTACAGAAACACCTCAGGGATCTCTTATCAGATGGGTTAAGGCCTTTGGGGCAGCACTCCTGATTTCATCTTGCCCTAAAAACGGTTTAGAGACCTTTGGCAATTATGTTTCTTTAGTGGGATCTTTGCTAACCACATTATAACAAATCCTGCTTACTAGCAGGATTCCTTGAAAGCTGTTTCAGCACAGCCTAAAATAAGCAGAAGACTATTTGCAGGGATTTTATTGTTCTCACAGTTATTTTAGCAAGGCATAGTCACTTCACTGGCTTACTTCTCATAGCTTTGGGTCAGGGAGCAAAGCACCCTTGTTCTGTAGAAGTCAGCAGGGATCTGGGGCACTTCAGTGACTGGATAACTCACTACACCTGGAGATTTCTCATCCCACTGCAATCAAGGGCAACAAGCACTGCTGGAAAAGTCAGCGTTAACAGTGTGCCAAAGGGGGTCACTCCAGCCCAAATGCCTCAAAGGATGGCTCATGCAAAGACACTCCTGATGGCATCTCTCCAGACCAGGACAGAAGCCAAGATGAAGCCTGGAAAGTCTCAAGGCATGTGTGCTTGATTGAAATAGATTTAAAATGAAACATTTAGAACTTCTAAAATTTCCAACATATAAAGCATCATTCTCATTCAATTTTTCCTCCAATTTTTATTTTTTAGTTTGTGCTCTTTCCCGTCTTGGAGGTACTTTCATTACTATGTGATCACCACAGTGACACTAGTGATGTGGGTGAAGTTGAATGAGATCCCCACCAGTGATTTGAAACTGATTTTACAAAATGGAGTGAGGGGGAAAATAGGTATTGTTTCAATTGGACATATACTTAAGTGTAAGATAAATGATTACTAAGTCAATACAAATAGTGTGACAGCAGAGTAGTGCTTATAATATACTTTAGATGGAAGATTACATTCAAGGATGCACCACTTCAGGCTGCAACACAATCATGCTACAATTGCATCCTATCAGGAGTTAGGTCCACTCCAGAGTTTTCTAGCTGTCCTGTGGTGTATTTAATATTATAATATTGAAAAATTCTCAGAAAATGGGTAGACTTTTGCTTCTTTTAATTAGCATTCCAACAATTGTTTTGAGGGGTGGTAATTTTCAGTATAAACTTGCTTTTAGCCTCTCTTAAGTTGATGGGGAAGAAAAGAAAAAGATAATAAGTTTTGCTATTTTCCAAGATATTCAATGCTTTAAAATTTCCTAATTTCTGAATGTCACAATACCAAAACAGGGAAAGTATTGCTTTGCTGTTATAAGGACAAAGCATTCCTCAGTTTCTTGAAAACAGCCTTTTTGTGCAAGTTTAATCAGGGAGCAGATAAATGATCATTTGTTGAACAACAGTCAAAACAAAGGCCAGTCCAAGACATAGGCCCACAAAATGCAAAACATCAGAAGATTGGCAGGAAAACCCCAGACCAAAGAACTCATGCTGAGACCACAGCCTTGAGGAAAACCCAGCAGGAACTTCTGGGCTAACTGCTGACCAGGAAAGAAGAAGCATGAATAGACACAGCCCAGTTTGAATGTATCTTTAAAGGAAACCAATCTCTACACGTTTTTTTGTCAACAGGCGGAACAGACAGACTGCCAATGTGACATGAGCTGCTTTGCCTAAAAATAACCACATGTAAACCACATGGGTCCAAAAACAGTCACAAAACCAGCACACATGAAACATGCAAATCCTGGCCTAGCAGAAGACCAAGAGAAGGAAACAATAAACACAGGCAAGGAGAGGTAGCAAACTGCTTCTTTTCTGTCTCCTGCAGGCACATGGAAGAAAGATCAAGCAATCTGCAATAGCCATGCAATGTGTCAGACCTGCTGTTTACTGAGTGATGAATGCTTCAGAGCTTGCTCACAGACAACACGAGAGGGTAAAGCCATCTGCTGTGAAACAGAGCACACAGCACTTGCTCGCACTTGCCCCAGCTTGGTCCTGAAAAAATTATATCATGTTCTTGGGAAGCTTAAGTTGCTGAGGTTCTCTGTACTCAAGTCAGCCCTGCATGATTAAATGCATTGATGCTACACATTTTACTTCTGCCATAAATCACCTTGGCTAAAGAAAAGGATATTCCCCCACTCCAAAATAAATCACAATATGTGGCATTTTTTAATCCTGCTCCAGCTTTAACTCCATAAGATGGTTGCTCTGACTTTTTTCTGTTCTTCCAGTTATGCCTTAAGACAGTCAAGTGAGCAGAAAGGTGCAGTAGGCAAACTAATCACTACTGATTTGTCAGTAAAAAGAAAAGGAAGTGGAAAAAGAAGATAAGGGGTGATCTGAAAACTCCCTGTGCATGCACCTCTGCCAGTACTCACTGCAGAGCTGCTTAAAAAGCCAACAAAGAAAAATTCTATCTTTTGGGACCTTCGAAAGTTTAAACACTGTTTATTGAAGCTCCATCTCTGCAATTAAGCCTGGATTTGCTTGATTCCAAATTAGATGGTATTTCATTAATGAAACACATTATGCTTCTCAGAGTTAATGAGCTAAAATGGTAAAAGAAAAAATTAAAAAGCCTGAACTCACAACTGGGAAAAGGGATGAAGCACAGTGCATTCAAAACTACCAACCAATAAAGCTGAAAAGCATTTCAGTTTACCAGCTTCATATGGGAGACTGTTTTATTCCCTGTAATAAGCTCAGTCACCACATTCCAGCACAGTTTTCAAGTCAGCTATTCAGGCTTCAGAGGAATTTTCTGTTGTGTTAGAGTATTTTTTTTTAAGAGAAAGCATTTATTTCCTGAGTTAAACATTTGCAGGGCTTTCCCATGGGATAGCTCCAGAAATTACCTGCATTTTCTTCACTTTATAAGAAACCTGGTATTTCCATCTGTACAAAATGCATGGAGCATAGCTGACACTTCTGACAGCAAGCTCCTAGAAGACTTTGATGTAGCAAACAACATGTGGGCTGCGCCTCTGGTAAGAGGATGTGCTGGGGAAAGCGATCTAAGAAATATTGCAGATCTCCATTTTCCTTGTAAAGTCTTCTGCCCACATCCTTTTGAGTGTTCTGTATAAAGGAGTACATCATCCCTCCTTTGAAATTATCTTAGAAGGAAGAATTACCTTATTTCCATTTTTCCTCATATTGCACATGCTTCTGCCAGAAGTACAAAGTAATAAAGAGGGTGTGTTGGCATTTTTAACACCAAAAAAGTAATGTAAAAAAATATTTGTTACAGTTGGCTAAACCTTTGGATGAGCCCTGTTCAAAGTCTTCAATCTTTCTTTGGTATCCATGAAAGCTCCTGAGCAACCCAGAAGCACTAGATGGCCCTCACCAGCCATACTCCTGAGATCACCAGTGCTGTCCCAGCCTACACCACTTCTGTGCCAAGAGAATGTGCTGGCACTGCTCACAGCAGGGGCTTTCCCAGGGAAAATTACTTTCCTGTAGTGCAACTGTTACAGGAGAGATAAAACCTACCTTTGCCAACTCCAGCACATCCATGACTAGCAAAGCCTGATTCCCAAAAAGAGCATCTGAAGGTGGAGTGGATCACTAGCTCTCTTCTCATTGCTCACACTTGAATCCTCCAACAGTTTCACACAGTAAGGACTCAAGTCACCCCCTTCTAATGCTTCCAGTATAGATCAAACAAGTTATCTCAGGATAACTCTTTTCAAAAGTTCCACTCTCACTTTCCAGTTTCATGTTCTTAGAAACGGCAGGTTTAGATCAGTTTGGGCACAAAGAGAAAAAGGAAGAAAGAAAAAGGAGCACAAAAGCAGCCATGGCTTTTGTTTGAAGCCAAATAAACTTTGTCCCAGTATAGAGGGTAGGACAAGATGGGTCATCTGTAACAGCCCCAGCAGGAAAAGACTGGTGTGTCTGGTGGTCAAGAGAGGCTTCAGATGCTGTACAGGAGCTTCTGATTTAGCGTGAGCACCTTGCAAACTCTGGCGCTCACTTCTGGCAAACAGAGCCAGCCAGGGCCTGAGGAAGTGGGAGGATGCTCCTGACAGCCTGTGGTTTTGGCATCTGATGCCAAGGCTCAAGATGCCTGGATAAGGCTTGCTCCTTAACTGTTAAAGAGTTCCTCCATTTCCGCATAGAGCCCTAACATTGAAGAGATGTTCATCTTGGATAAGCACTGGACAAGAAGGCCACAAACACCATGGCAAATACCACATCAAGATAACACAGACTCAAGGATCATCAGTAGTTTTATCACCTTTTCACTTTGCTTAAAAGTATTTGGCTTTGTACAATACTCAGGTGTGTTAGGTATTTTCTGTGTCAGATTTTTTCTTTGTTACTTATCCTGTAATCTGTCTGGGAATTGCTGACAGTTTCATGTAGGATATTTTGCACTGCAGTCATGAGATTTAACTGTGTAGAGCTTCCTCAAACCCCTGTTCTCTGAGCTGTGATTCCATACATGAAAGATAAAAGGGAATATGACTCTTTTCCATTTTCTCCCATCTTTGCATCCCTGCTCTCTGTTATTTAGTGCCTAGAGGCTGATACATACAAACACACACACACATATATATAGACATGCAAAAACACAGCGCAGCTCCATATTGGAGCCTTGCAGGCTCTGAATGCTTCCTGTACCACAAATCACTCTAAGCCTTACAATGGTGAGATCTCACCAGAGCCTGTTAATGAACAAAGGGAAAAAACAGGTATAACTGACCTGCTGGGTTCTTTTCCTCGGGTTTGGGGTGCATTAGACGAAATGGCAGCTCTGTACCCACTTCACTTTAGGGAGAAGGAAGAATGCATCAGATCCACAGCTCCACACACATGCCTGGTTCAGCCTCCTTCCTCCTTAGGCCAGCCTGAGCCCTCAGCTCCATCTTCACCCATTCCTTCATATTTTTCTAATCATAATTTTCCTCTCAAAAAAAGTTAAGCTCCAATTTCTCCATAAATATCCCAGGCATATCCACTTTCATAGACTGGGTTTATTTTGTGCTGAATGTACTTGCATGTATATAAAAATAAAAGATGTTTTTGTAATAGCTTCATTTTCACAGCAGAACCACAAATTATTTGCTTCTAACAACTTAAGGGACAGTTACTTTTTTTAGGGAGGTGGGAATGGCAATAAGAAAGAAAATAAAAAGATGAACTAACAACTAGGACTGCATGGTCTGAAAATGAAGATTACATTTACCTGGAAGTGAGGTCTCCCAGCATGCTACAAAAGAAAACAAAGAGAAAAACAAAGAATATTTAATGCCTTTCTATTCTGGTGCTCCAGCAAATGCTTTAATTGGTGGACTACTGAAATCACTTTCCTTATGTACTGTTCTCTACTTGCCATTGTACTTGTTTTTTAAAAAGATAGTGTTACTTTTTCATGTCATTCCCATGGAGAAAGAGACTGAGTTTTTGAACTCCTGACCAAGTGTTGGGCGTGGCCCCTTTTCCAAGGGCCAAAAGGCAAGTGGATGACCACAGAAGGAAGCAGTCATTTTATCATGCTTTAGGCAAATCTTTGGTGCATTTTTATACTAGAACGAAGGATAGATGAATGAAATACCAATATAAACAGTGACTAGCATCAACTGAGAGTCACTATCCTTTTTTGCACTGTATCCTGGATGTAGCTCATGTTAACATAACATCAGCTTTACCCAGAAAGCTGGCTGAGTACAGAACCTGAGCTACAATATTTACGACTCTCGGGCAGACATTTTCACTTTCTGCTCTGAGAGAACAGCAATGCCAACATAATGGTTCACACAGTTTCACCTCACTTCTCACAAAATAGGTGATGGCTTTGAAACAAAAATAGCAATGCAAAGCAGAGGTTCCTACTTCAACCATAAAGTTATATGGTATCTAAAGGAAAGTAATACAAACCATTTGTCTCAGCACAAGTTCTATGGATAGGCCAAGACTGTTTTTCAGGCAATTTATGCTTTATAGGAAGCCTCATATTCTATAACATGTGCCTTTTCTCTTGGGGTGGACTGTTCTGGTCTCTCCTCACCCATCAATGACAGAAACACATTCCCCTCCTGTAACTCTAGGCAGATGTAGCAAAAAGTATGCTACACTTACCCTGGAACAGTGAGCTTCACTTTGATCTTGTAGGAAACCAGAATCCCCATCACTGTCTTGTCTATTCCATCCTTAATGCTGCCAGAGAAAACAGAGTAGTGTGAGCTGGCACAGCTGTATAGCAACAACACACCTGGAGCAAGAACTAGGGGAGCATCCTAAAAATGGGAGGGCAGGCAAGCCTCAGGTGTAGCCAATACCTCTCCAGATGTGTGATCACCCTGGATGAACATGATGGCATTAGTAATAGTGCTATATGTATCCATCCAGGCACAACTTTACACTGAGGGAAGTGTCTCCTCCATCCTCCCCTCTTCTCTATAACTCTCCCACTACCTGGAACAACTTAAAACTCCACTCACATAGTACTAGAAGCCAAGTTGGTGTCCTCATCCTTCAATTTTCCATCCAGAGCTATTTCTCGTGTCTCCCGGTTATTTGCAAGCAAGGGTAAAAGTGTCAGGGTCTTGGTCAGGCTGCTGTTTGGCTGCACCTTTTCCCTGAAAATAAGAAGGGAAGTGATACTCTGTGGTTTGTTACACACCCAACTAGGAGAATTTCAAAACAGATTACAAAGCTGCCCAAAAGGAGAGGAATTTATCTGTGCAAATTCAGCCTTCAACAATACAGATGTCCACCCCTAATCTAGTCAGAAAAATTCCCTTTATAATCAGCAGAGAAACACATATATTTACAGAAAATGCTTTATTTCACATTAAGGCAGAAAAGTAGGTCAAAAGCACAGAATAATAATATAGTTTAGGTTGGAAAAGCCCTTTAAGATTATCAAGTCCAACCATTAACCCAATACTGCCAAGGCCACCAGTGAACCATGTCCCCAAGTTCCACATCTATTTTTCCTAATATCCAACCTACACCTCCCCAGGTGCAACTTGAGGCCACATCCTCTGTATTGCAAAGCTCTGAATGTGGACAAAATGAATCCTAGTTGAGAATACCAATACTGAATGGAAAACATGTCCCTAAGCTATAGAGCATAACACCAGACATATATAAAGTACCTGGGTATGCCCAAACTTCCTCACCGTGTGAGGTTCAGCACTGCCAGTACAGTGAAAAAAAGCAAGTGTTTCCCCATAACATCTACAGGCTCAAACTTTCTGTGGGCTTTCTCAGGCCAGAAGAAACCAAAAGAAATGCTCTTGCTCAAGCAAGAGTCTCCATGACTTCCACTCAAATAGCAGCACCTTTCAGAAGCATGTTGCATCTCTATTTAGATTTCCAGCAACGGGGAACCTCCCGCCACCACCACTAAGCTTGTCTAGCATGTAATTACTCTTCAAACCTCTTCTGCAACATCTCCACTCCCTGAAAATACATGAGGATCTCTGATGCTCTGTGATAAGGGGATCATTCTCTAGAGAGAATGAGTGGTGTGGCACACACGAGCTAAGAGGAGACTGCCAGACTTGTAATTATGAGAACCTCTCATTACTGATGATGAGGGTAATTAAAAGGGTGTGAAGGAACAGGAGCATTCACTCACCGTGCTTCCTCAGAAGCCACCACTTTGGTATAGAAGTCACTGGAGTACAGCACCACATTGGTCACCTGCTCCACTGAGGGAGAAAGAAGAAAGCAGACACTCAGGTGTGTGCACGTACCACAAACAAAAGAGTTGCCCCCACCACAAGTCCCAGGAATGGGAAACACGGTGAAGACAGCAGAAAATCCCATCCATTTACAACCTGAAGGGACCACCAGGTCAGATAACCTGACCTGAACAGAGACCAACAGCGCACCAATGGCCAAAGTCTGTCTTCCCTGAAAGGCACCTGGCCTTGATTTGGAGATAACAGAAAGTCAATAACCCAGTTTCTCTTGTGATCCTCTCTTTCCATTATAAAGATGTCCCTCTTCCTTCTCTCTTTGGGTCTGCTTTTCTCTGGTCTTGGTATCTCTTGTGTGCCTACAGCCCATACATATACATTCAGGAGACAGCATCAGCACAAAGCCTGTGGTGACAGATGACTTATATTCTCCAATCCTACACAAAAATCCCAGGGGAATTCTGGGACCAACAAAGTCTTTTTAAGCCTAACATAGGCATAAAAAAAGAGCCTAAAAATATTTGGGAATCACAGTGCATCATCCCAGACTAGCACTGAAATAGCTTTCTCTGTTATAGTTCTGTAGGAACCTCAGACATTTTTTTCCCTCTCTGCCTTCTTTTCTCTTTCCCATATCCTTTGTCTTGTGGAATGTCTTCCCCAGCTCTGCAGCTTGTGGGATGAAAACATGTAGTGTCATATAAAACACTGGCACAGCAATGAAGCTCAGCTCCTGCCCTCAGCTGGAATTCCTCAGGAGGAGGAATGACACTTGCTGGCAGAGTGGCTGTTTCTTACCCTGCCAGAGATTTCTGGAACACCAGGCAAAGCTGCATGTGATCTAGGCACATTCACAGTTAACAGGAGCATCACACTGGCAGGGAGCCCCTCCCACTGACCTCCTAAAAAGGATGGACTTTCCTCCACTTTTCCCACACCTGCATTTCCCACTGCAGGAGCCAGACCTTTTTTCTTTTTCTAGGGGGGACAATCTGGTGACTGAAATAAAGACATTCAAGTAACCACAAGAATCAGGAAAAAAGCTACAACACTTCACTTGATGAACAGCAAAGAAACAGCAACACACAGAAAGGGAAAAATTTACGATATCCCAAACTGCCTTCTTAAACTGTTGTAAGCACTAGATTCTGTCTCTCTTTCAGCCCTATTGCACTCAAAGAATCCCAAGCAACAGTAAAAATATACCCTGGACTTTGATCTTCTTCACTGTTTTCTCTGTGCTGTTGTTGATGGTGACAGTGACTGGAATGGGCTCACCATGGTAGTATACCTAGAAGGAATGGGATGCTCAGAAATCCAGCCAAGGCACTTCCTCCAAGCCCTAAACCCCTCTAGTTCCCCCAGATTACACCCCACAGAAGCCGGACAGGGGAAGATGGTCCCTCCCAGCAATTCATGACCCTTCCTTCAATGACTTCTAATGTGTTTGGTAACAGGGTTTCAGCCACCCCTGGCAGTGGCCAGTGATAGAAATTACATTAGAGCCCTTGAGTGCTGGGACAAGCCAGTCTCAGCTGAGAAAGCAGCAAAATGCCCATTGGCCTGCAGATACCACAATGCCCCCAGCCCCAGGGCAAATGCCCCCTCACCTCTTTACTGAGGCAAGCTTTCAGGTGCAGGGGCTTGTTGGACATGAAGAACTGCCAGGTGGTCTCTGCACAAGGCTGGGGTCCTGGCTCCTCTGGAGCATACTGCACCTTACGGATCAGCAGACGTGCAGAGTTCCTGGGAAGCAGCAGAGGACAGCATGGTGACACCTGGTGTTTGCCAGAGGCAGGAGTTCTGCATTTCCATGTGCTCACACCCGAGAAGTGGGTGCAAAGCTGAACAATCAGGGTGCATCACTGGACCACCCATCCTCTTTAAGGCAAGGCCGGAGAGAGACATATCCTATTACCTCCTATGAATTCTCTCTTCCACATTTTCTGTTGAGAAAGCTTTCACCTCAAAATCCACCCCACAAGTCTGTCAGAGAGAGAGAGGAGAGAGAGCTGTGAAATCAGGATCAGAAGACAGGAACATCTGCAGATGTTTCAGTATCTTTCTGCACACCAGAAACTTGGCAGGCACCAGGTGCAATTTACTCTGGCCTCCCACCACTATCACAGACATCCCTGACAACTGGTGTTGGCACATCCACCTGTTCTACAGTGCTTCTGATAAATGAGGCTGAATCCTAGACTCTGAAAGATGACATCCCTGCTCCTGAAAGGCTTCCTCTGAGACCAGCGCTGGAAAGGTCACAACATATGACTGACCAGTGTGCCATGCTCTCTGGCCCACCCTGGGTTTCTGAACTGAATTTCTGAGTTGGCTTTGTAATGCCAAAACCAGTATGTATAGAGTGGAAGTGATCATGCCAAGCTAACATTTGCTTTAATGGGTTTTTAACTTATAATCATGGGGCTATGTGCAGGTCCCAAGTAATTCTCTACAGAGACATTTTTGTTAGAATATCATTCCCTGGCATAAAACACAGATTATCCTTTTTGCACTAGATTCTACAACCTAAAGCCCATTTTGCCTGGTTGATTGCCTAGTTCTGCTGTCCAGACAAGCAGCCAGTCAAGTATAAGAGGAATATTTTTAACAGTATCAGAAACCTTGCAGAACATTTAATTATTTAGTGACTTTTACTACAGAGGTTTTTTTTCTGTTTACACATACATACAAGCCAGCTCTTCTCTGCATTTAATTCAGGGCAGGTCTTAAGACATGTTATTTATAGCAAACTGTGACATTTTAGGCATTCAGACTCCTTTTCTTTCATGTAGCCTCATAGCCACAATCATTTTATGTGCAGCCAACCCACAAATCATGTGATAGTCTTAAAGAAGCTACAGCACTGCAGATTTTGTAGTCTTGCTGCTATTTGTTTGGATTCCCTTTCTTACTTTGAGTATTTCAACTCCAATTCTGTGACACATACTTGTAGCTCTTAGTTCTTGACATTTGTGGCACAGCACAGTAAAATCAGTATCAGATTCTCCTACTCGCAAGCTGAACAAATTCACGTGATTTTTTTCCATCTGACTTTCCTTAACCATGATAAGCACAAGTGTCCCACTGGCCTCACCTTATCAACATCACGAGGTGCAGGCTGCAGACAAACTGAGCAAGGAAGGTAATCTGGAAACTGTGGGAGGAAGAAGAAGAAATGCCCCAAAGCAATAGTACACAGATGTTTTAAGTAACATACTGCTCACAAAAGCAGTCCTGAAGACAAGGGTCCACTCACTGTAATGCAGTAACCCTTTGGAACTCTTGCTAGAATACTAGCCTTGTATGAACAAATCCCTCTCTTCCAAAAACACTTTAATAGTCAAGAAAGAAAAAAAGTCCATGCACAATGTGAATCTTCTTCAGGAACACTAAGACAGACGTGACTGACACCACTGGAAGGATTTCCTGTTAGAATTTGGTAGTCAGCTGTCATTTGCTGACAACATCTGGTAAAGACCTTTTCATCTCCTTATTTGATGGGAGTTTTTAAAGGAAATGGATTTGGAACTGAGGCAATAGTAAAAAGTATTCCACTCCCTCAGGAATGGGAAGGCAAGGATATATAGGGCTGTTGCTAGCATAAAGTCATTGCAAATTCCCTTCCCTCTTTTAAGAAAACACTTCTCACAGTGCTGTGATCACTGCATAGTTAGGATCTTCTTGTACTTTACCTCTGAGGACTGCAAGAATTAAAAAAAAACCCAAAACATTGGTAACACCACCCATCACCCAAAATTGGAAGTTGCAGAACATGAATTCACTATTAATTCCCATCTTCAGTCCACCACAAGGCCTCAACAGCCTGGTAAGTACAGACAAGAGGAGAATCAGAGGCTCTTCTGAGATACTTACTGTAAAGAAAAAGGGATAAGCATTTTTCCCCAGCTTCTTTAGCAGAGATTCCTGCAAGAGGGTGAGAGACTCTGGCTTGTCAGCAGGCGGGTACACTTGGACCCTGGAGAAGAACAGGTCCCGGCGGAAGGCGAGGCCAATCACATCAATGTCTTCCTGGCCATAGCGGAACACGCAGGTGAGGGACACAAACACTGAGAAGAAGCACAGGACAGGTGAAACATGCAGCAGGATAGCAGTGAAGGCAGGCTGGGATGAGGACATCTCCTGCCTCAGGGAGACATGGAAATTCATTTCAACACTTGCATAACCCAGTGAGTACTCATGCCATGCATAACAGGCATTGCATTGATAAGAAGCCCATTCACTGGGGAAGAGTTACATATGTACCCTTAAAAGAATAAAAAGGTTCTACCTTTGCACCTCACTCAGAAAGACAAACAATTTCTGAGATATACATTGCATAAAACCTCAAACCTTTTTTCCCCTGGACAATAGCAGGATCCACCAATACAACACCATCTGAAAGAAAGGGGAAAAAAATCAAGATTAACAGAGGATAAGCAGGGTTGAGAGCATGAAGAGCAGTGCATAACCTTGTCGACTTACCTACAGGTTCCACATTCCCCATGTTGTCAATGAAGTCCCGCTTTCCCAGGTAGATGGTCAGCTGTGGGGAGAGGATGACCACAGTTGAACTATAAAACGTTTGTGGTTGTTGAGGGAAGGGGGAGACACACATCAGAGAACTATAAATCTTGCAGAGATCAGAACAATTCCATTGTAAATGGAATATTTGTTGCTTTTCCAGCAAACATGCAACCCCACCAGACTCAACAGGATTATTCACATGCTTCAGGACATCAGATCTGAAGACCTGATCTAGACCAGCTCTCAAAGTACAACACAAATACTTGCAGGGGATAAAGAAGAGTAGATTTAAAGATTTTTGGTGCTGTCAAGACAATGAATCAGCTTTGTTTTAAGCAATTACCAGAAGAAGTACAACCCAGGATGAGCATGAGCTGCCTTCCTCTTGTATTATAACATAGGAAAAGTTTGCCTTAAAAATTGTTCACATCATCTCAAATTTAGTGGGAATATGGCTCACACTCCTTCAAAAAGAGGAGGGGACGGGAAAGAGCTTTCTAATAAGTCTCCAGTCTCACTACAGGTAAAACTCAAACCTAAATAAGCCCATTATTATCGTACTCACAGCTTTGTCACGGGTGCTTTTTCTGAAGATAACTTGTTTTGGAGGAGAATCAGCATTCTTCCCACCAATCCCAGTCTTTTGGCAGCTCATGGTCAAAGACAGGGATGTGACTGTGGGTGAACAAAGCCTTCCTGTCCCAAAATGTCCTTCCCCAGATGCCTGGGAAAAATAGGTGGATGAGATAAAAGTAGTAGGTAAAGCACTGTACTCCTGTGCTGTTTCAGAACCCCTCAGACATCCAAATGGTGGCTCTGTGTAAAAGGTACAAAGGTGGTTTGTGTTGATAAGGAGTCAGACCAATCTCCAAATGAGAACTGATCTGTCCTGTTGCATTTTCCTCAACCAGAACCCATGGGAAAAGTAACACTGAGCTCAAATCAGAATGCACTGTAAGGATAGGACAGTCCAGCCACCTGCCCAGAAAGGCAACAATTACATTTGGAGGCAGGGAACAGCTTGCACCTGAAGGGTAGAAAGCATATGGAATAAAAATTCTTCAGGAGGAGAAAAATAAGGAGGGACAGAAAAGATGGTGGGGAGGTGGGCAGGAGGAGAGAGAGAAAATGGGGGGAAAAGGGAAGCAGTGAAAAAAAAGAAAAGAAGAAGATGATAAAGGGGAGACCACAAGGGCACAAGAGATATCCCAGAGAGAAGTTCAGAAAACCTAAGTGGTACAAAGCAGAGATTAGCTTTTCATTTTGTTGTATGTCATAAAATGGCACCCAGTTAATGATCAGACAGCAAATTTTAAGTAAGGTAAAGCATTTTTCCAGTTAACAAAAGATTCAAGGTGGCTCTGGAAATCACCAATAGGAAATGAAATCACAGGATTAGATATATTCACAGGGAAAAAGGCTTTTGGCAGCTCTTGGACAAGGATCCAGGAGCAACCTTAACCCTGTAAGATTCTGAAGCAGAGGTGCAGCATCAGGAGAGGATTACACCACACATACTTCTCACCATCAAAGTATATCATCATCCTCCTCACACTTCTCATCATCAAAGCTGTGTGAATGAGAACACTGTGTTAGACAAACCCCAGCTCTGATGGAGTATGACTGCCCCTGCAGTTTGCTCCCATTCTATTTCTTTGCTTGCTTTCTGAGTAAAACAGTTTCTAGGGCCTATTTGCAGACAACAAACCATAGAAAAAGGAAACACTTGGCTTCTTGGAAAACTGAAAAAAATGTAAGGCAGACATTAGAAACAGACCACACACATGTAAGCATCTCTATTTTCATTAAATAGGTTTTTCAAATCCAGACTGCTGACTAGACATGATACTCATGCTATAGACTCAAAGAAACACACCAGCAAATAACATGAAATACCTTGCTGTGTTCCAAATGGCACAGAAGCTTCCACGGACAGTGATGAGAACTTCTGAATTATTGAAGAAATATTAATTTTCCAAGCTGTGTCCTATGCTTCTTTGCATCTACCAGAGGGAATTACTGCCCTCTTCACAAACAAGGAAGACAATTTGTAGGGGATTTGAAAGCTCATCTCTAGTTGAATCTATCCAGGATTCCAAGAATTAATCCCTCTCCATGAGCAAATATTGTACCTGGGCTAAGATTCAGCTGGGAAGTGGTTAAGTCAGCAACAACAAGGCATTACCTAAGGACATTCAGGTAGGCAGCAAAGATGTCTAGAATGTCCTATTCACATGTTTTGCAAAGACTACAGACATGTAGCACAGGACAGCTACTGAAAGCAGTTTACTCTAAAGCTCTATCTCCTCCTTCCCAGGGCTGCAGGACACCCAGCCTGGTAAGAAATTGAACAGACAAGAGCCATTCATGAAAAAGGGAGTTTATAAAACACTAAAATGCCATTTTGATGGACTGTCAAACACTGAGAACAATGCACTATTCTCATGATCACTAAGCAATTTATCTATTACTATTCACCAGCATCCAACTGACATGCTGATGCAAAACAATACACTGCTGGCTTGTACAATCCCCTCCTCAATTTACTTACAAAAGCACAACATCTGGGATTTAAGAAACACAGATATTTTAATTAACTTCAGCATTTCTGGTCCTTAATCTTCCAAGAGTAGCTTTTCCCTCACCAGTGAATTTGGCCCTGGTATTCTGCACAACAGTACATGTTAACTTTTGGCTTGTGAGCTGTAGGAACAGCTGTAGCTTTCCTCTGGCTGCATCTGTTCATTTGATTACAAGGATCACATGATATCCTGTCCACTTGCCAGCCTAACAGCTCCCTCCAGCTCAAGCAACCTTGCAGTCACAGATCAAGCTTGCTTTCCAAAATCACTGACATCTGCCTGAATACAGTGGCCAGGGCTACACAAATTACTCAAAAAATTGAATGACATAACCAATGTTCCTCAGCTTTTTCAGGTTTCCAGCAACATTTTATTAACTGGAAGTGGATTATTTGGAGAAGTTAATCACTACTCTGTCTAATCAGTTCTGGCAAACACAAACCAGCCAGGCTGGAACCACAGAAATTCACATGTGCCTGTGCTGCAGCAGGAAAGTCAGGCCTTTATTGTAGGAAGGAAGAAACACCAGAGATGTTCTACTCAGTCACACTTCTCAAAAACACAAGGGAGGAAGCTGGTTTTGTACAAGTTTGTGCTGCAGCCACTGCAGGATTATTAGTTCTCCAGGGGAGGATGAGCATTTCTGTTGGTACGTGTACCATTGCAAACATCTTCAGGGGATCTTGGAAACAGCTTCTCTGTAACACGTGTTCCTCGTGCACCTTTAATCCAGAGAAAGATGCCCAACCCACCCCCAAATCCACCTGAAGGGCAACTCCACCTCTGGCAGCAAAACTGCTACAGCCACCTCTGCACTGCAAGTACCTTCATTTGCTCTTCTTCCCTCTGCAGGCTGAAGCAGAAAAGGAGGCAATAAAAGTAATCAAAATTTGGGGAAAAAAGAAAAGCTAAAATTGGTCACTAGAATTTCTTACCTTGGTGCTAAGGAACTTCCATCTAAAATGCTTAAGGACTGAGCTAGCTGGCCATTATCCTCCAGTATTATTAACCTTCTTCATAACAGCATCAATGAGCCTAACAAATCCCTTTGGGTAAGATCTGTGTCCACCCTGTAGAAAAACACAAGTGTAGCAGTCTAAATTATAAACATCCTAAACCCATTCTGATCCTCCTCAGCAGAGCCTGCAGTTTTTATTATGCTAATCTCCCAATTATCTTTCATCACGCTGACTTGCTACTTCATGATCTGCTTTCCTGCAGTAACCAAGGTCACCTGGACTTGTGGCAGGTGCCTTTTCAAGGACCATCTGCCACTGCAACAGGCAGAAGAAAAAAATATCTTGCCTTTAGAAAATGTTCAGAATGCCAACTTTTCATTTTTGCTACAGTTCTCACTTCCATGAGCTGGATAAAAGCTTATTTTCTTATGAAAAAGGAGGGTGGCCAATGATGGTTATTAGTTATGAAATTTGTACACTGAAAAGCTGAAGACTTTGCTTCATTACTCTGAAGCTGGAACCAGAGTAACCTCTTCAACAGGGTTTTTGTGTTTTTAAAGAAACATGCAACTCCTATTCCCATCTTAGAAACTTGACAAGGTAGCAGTCAGTCTCACAGCAGAAAAAGATGCCTATTTTCAGCAGTGTTTGGTTTCCTCAGTTCAGTAGTTTATCTAAAACATCCAACAATACATCAACCTTTCAAGGACACAGAGGCACTTGTTCAATGAGGAAAGGCTTCCTTCTGTCTCAAGGCAGGACTACTGAGACAGGGCAAGCCCAGGCTGCACCTGCAGGACATCCAGCCCCAAGCTAAGAGAATTATCCTTTCTCCCCCTCTACACCAAATCCCACAATTCATCCCAAAAATATTTCAGGTCCCCCTCAGCACTCATTCCAAACAAGATCTCACACACAGATGCACAAATAAATAAATCAGAGCAGTGTGGGGTTTTAAAAGCAGAACACAGGTTTATTTACAATCAAGTTCTTATGGGCAGCTGAATAAATAACAACTTTGCCCCATATACTCTAATTCCCCTCTGCAGGAAGTGTCTGAATGAAAGGCTGGGTTAGAGGGAGCCTGTCAGAGCAGCTCCCCCAACCCAGCCCCTCCAAAGAACACACTTCCATAGTAAAACACTATTGGGAAAGAAGAAAATAAAGTGCAAATAAAAAAGGCAATAAAACGCTGGTGGCTTGTCTCGAGGCCCAGATGATGTGGAAAGGTTTGGCTGGATAAAGATATGCCAGGTAGCTCACACTCAGTCACATCATGGTTTGGGGTGCCAGAACAGGGACAGAGCTAAGACACCACTCCGTACCACAGAGGGCTCCAGCGCAAATGGGAATATTGCACGTGTGCTCAAGAACGGGGCAAGTGGCCTGGAATTGCCAGCACCAAAACAATGGATTTGGGATTTGATGCCACTGCTCCCCTGTGTACTGACAGCCGCCAGGACAGGACGGATGAACAGAAAAAGGGACCAAACATCTGTATTCCAGGACTGAAGTCACAGGATTACTACATTCCTCATCACTGCAGCACAACTTTTACAACCTCAACGAGCTCAGGTCTCTCCTCACACCCAATAACCAAACTGTGGTATAAAAAGATTAAAAATCTCCTATTTTGTGATACCCAAGTTGTTAAAGGGCATTTCAACACAAGGGTGCAGAAGTCCTGAAGAACAGACCATTGTCTCAAGAACTGATAAACAGAGTACAAATGACAGTGCTGGAGAGCCTGTGCCAGGATCAGAACAGATCCAAACTGAGTTGATGACTCAAAGACAGAGCTGTCAGAGCCATGGAGACTCTTTTAAAAAGCTGTTCCAACACTTCAAACTGCCTAGGATGTGTCTCAGGATCTTCTCACCCCGTGCCTGAACTAGGCCACCAGAACAGAACACAGGAGACAGGACATGCTTTAAGTCAGCATACACAATGACTTCTTTCCACAGTTTCCACCTCAGAAGTGCTGTAGATACATTTGTGTGACAGGATATTTGGCACAGCTGTCTGGTGAGGAATCCCGCTAGTATCATCAGCTCCACGTGGTGCATAGATACTGCAAGTAAAGGCATGACTAAGTAGCATTCTCCATCTACAACAGCTAATCCCATTCTGAGTCTGGGTGCCACAGTGCAGTTATGGCCGTGAGAAGTCTCTGACTCAGGCTCCTTTCTCCATTGCTTTAGAGCTTCCCTCAGGAAAGCAAAGCCCATGTGCTTGTCAGTATCCTGACTCTGGATGGATCTGGGCTCGGGTCTCCAAGCTGTGCAGCCATGGACCAGCACCACCACACACAGTCTTTCACTCTCCGTCAGTCAAAACTCAGACCACAGCACAGCCTTGTTTCCTTTGTCCACAGTGACCACATGGGCACCCGCTGGGGACCACGTGACTGCATTGATAGAAGAACTGAAAGGGAAGGCAAGAGTAAGTTCACAAGAAAGCTGAATTCCACAACAGCACTTAGCACTGGAATGAATTACTATAATACTCTTATTCCCAATTTAAAAAAACCCACATTTTCTCACATCTCAAGAGACTTGGGCTTTTAATAAGTCTGAGGGAGGTACAATTTCTTCAAAATGTATTGAATGCACTTTATTAGAATCATACCTCAGTTTAACAAGATAACAACAACAAATCTAATATAATTCAATCTAGAGAATACTGCCATGAATCCACAAAGACTTTGCATATTAATAATTCCCACATGCCGATAAAAGTTGCAAAGCTGTGCAACTCCAACTTTTTGATAGCTCAGCAAGATCCACAACCCAGATCCCCACCCTAGGCTGCATGTCCCACTTCCCTCACCTGTGATGCTTTGCAAGCGTCCTCTCCAATTTCCCAGTAAGCACATTCCAAATGTAGAGGGCCCCATCAGCTGAGCCAGCAGCCACATAGTTACCATCAGGGCTGTGAGATCAGACCAGGTGCGGAGGGCAAAGAACAATTTTCAAGTCAGCAATTTTCAGCACACATCATCATTCCACCCACAACTTCCTAAGCAAGCAACTTCGCATTAAACATTCCTTTAGGAGATTTGTGCTGTCATCTGCTAATACTAAGAGGTGAAAGCACTTTGAAATCAGAGCATTTCCAAGACATTGGATCAATATTTAGGGATACACTCTGGCTTGACCAAGAGGTAACCTTGGACAAATTACAAACTCTGTCCCAGTTTTTCTAGCTGTAATTGGGGACCAGTGCAGCCAAGCATCAGGAATCACTCCATTTAGCTGGGGAAAGGTTCATCAGGTATCTTGCTTATGTCTGACCTTACCTGAACACAACTCTTGTCCAGTCAGAGCCACATTTGAATCCCTGGGCACTGGAAAGATAGAATCAGGTAACAGTTAACTCATTTATGAGAAGAGATACTTACTAAAGAAAATGTTAAGGATTTCAGCATGGTTCAGAATAAACTCCAGCACCCCTTTACCCCAATTCATGTTGGGATACACCCTCCTCATACACCCTCCTCTCAATGGCACCCTAAGAAATTCTTTGCTGTTCCTAGTCATTCTAGAGAACTTTGCCATGTAGAAAAAAACCATGAGGAGACAGCTCTCTTCAACAGAGGTCCTGAAAACCACTCCAGCACTGAGGGTAGCCCACAATACAAGGCCCTAAAATTCAGTGTTCTTGTGAAGAAGACACTCACCTGAACGTCTGCTTGACAGCACTGACCCGCAGATCAATAATCTTGAGTAGATCATCACGGGAACAGGTCAGAAGCTCTGTTCGCTCTGGATTCAGGTCCAGAGCCGTGATTCTTCCAAGCAACTCCAGTTCTTTTACTATGCTTTCAGTCCTAAAGACAGAAAGAGGGGAAAAAAAGGAGGGGAAAAAAAAAAAAAAAAAAAAGGAAGGAAAAAGAAAGCAGTGAATTAGGGTCTAGAAGCCAAATGAGTGCATCAAAACTTCTATTCATCCCAGTGGAAGAGCTAGATCCCATCTTGTGGATAGCATTTCCAGCGAACAGTTAAGACACTACTTTCCTCACAACCTCATCCTAGAACAGCACTAATATTTACCAGCACAAAAATATTTACCAGCAAGCAGGCTGTCTTTTCAGAAAAAAAATGGCATCCCCCCACAGAAAACCCCAAACAAACAAAAGACAACAAAAAAACCCCAGCCCCAACCAA